CCCATGACTGGTACAGGGAGTAACAGCTCTCTGCCTTCTCCAGCCTCTCATCTCACCTTTGTGTGCACTCTCTCTCCTTTGAGTCTGCTCAGTCCTGCTCCACCATTAAGTTTCCTTAATAATATAAGAATATATTATACATATAACGATATATTTTTAGTAAGAGGCTGGCTATCTCAGTGGCAAAGGCTGCCATGGATAGGAAAGCACGTAGCCTGCTCACTTTACTCAGAGAAACATGCAGTTTAGGAGGAATGCCTGTCTGTGTGAAAGTAAAATAAATCAATGCGTGGTCAAAACAAGACTCTTGAAAATTGCAACCACATGTCCTGGCAAAATTTTAATTTTGTTTAATTAAAAGAATTAATAAATAATGGCATGACATCCAGCTTAACTATTGACATCACTAATAAAAACGCAACACATTGTCATTAGAAATAGAGCAGTACATACTGAAAGAGAGTGGCTTTAGATTAGGTATAAGGAAGAAATTCTTTACAGTGAGGGTGGTGAGGCACTGCAACAGGTTACCCTGGGAAGTTGTGGATGTCCCATTCCTGGAAGTGTTTATGTTGGATGGGGCTTTAAGCAACCTGGTCTACTGGAAGGTGTCTCTGCTCATAGCAGCAGGGTTGGAACTAGGTGATCTTTAAGGTCCTTCTTAACCCCAAACCTGTGACTTATGATGCTGAGGAAATCGGTTTCACAGGATGTCAGTTTCTTTCACAAGAAATATTTTGTTTCGTGGCTTGAAAAACTGACTGAGATTGTCCTCTAATTGTTCCAATTTCCCACTGCTGACATTTAGCACTACACCTGACTGGCATGGGACCCACTACGTAAGCAGAACTGAGCTTGCACACAATTTCTCCTCTGCTAAGTGGAGTGTGATGGCCCTCCCACCCCCAACGGTGCCCAGAGCCACCTTGGGGCTCCCAGCTGCGGCTACAATGACAGACTGCCTGAGGGCTACATTTTCCATAGCATTTATAAGCTTCACCTGAAAATAAATTCCCCAAAACCTAAAGTATCAGCTCCACAGGAGGAGTTTTGATGTTCCTGTCTTTCAAGGTAGCATCAAAATACTGCTGGTTTGGTGTTTGTTTGGGTTTTTTTGGAGGGGGGTGTTTGTTTGTTTTTCTCCTTTCTGCCTCATTTAGATTTCCCTATGAAGACATTGGGTGGAAAAACAAAACACCACATAAATGAAAGAGTAGCAGAGGGCTGGAAGCAGTACTGTGGTGGTGGCAAAGTTCTCCAGCTTCAGTTTAAGAGACCTCACATGGCTGAGGTTCACCTGTGCCTCAGCCTGGGCTTGTCACATATGTTTAAGAATAGCTGATTTATTAGTTTTCCTCATGTTTTCTGTTCCAAAAATTACATAGAACATTTGTGGTTGGTAGGAAGTAAAAAATGATCCTTTGGAAGATGCCAGAAACACACAGAATCCCTGACTCATCAAACTCACTTTCAGTTTGTTTGGCTGCCTGTCTTTTCCTGTCCCTACCCTTTCTTTTCTCTGCAAACTTCCCCTGATCATCTCTCCCCATTTTATTGGTTTTTTGCTTTACCCATTTACCATCTTTCCCCTTTCTCTGCAAAGCTCTCTCAATTTCTTTTTTAAATACTTCCCCCCCCCCGGTTTCCTACTCCCCATACATGTGCCCTCTCTATTGCCACCTCCTGCAGACACTGTAACCCCTAGATTAAGACCACAGGCCAAAAAGGAAAGGAGACAGAGAAAATATGGAGACTTATAGAGCAAAAAAACAATGAGAGCACCTTTTCCCAGGAAACATTTAAAGAAACAGGCCTATCTTTCCCATTTGATATTCTTCTTGGTGAAAAAACAAACAAACAAAAACCAACTCAAACTATTTTTTCTATTAAAGCATTTCAGTGAAATTCAAACAAAATGACACTTACATGTACACCTGCATATTGTCTTCTTTTTTTTACCCTCCCTGTTTTCTTTCCCTTTTTTTCCCTGAACAAAACCACTGTGTAGTACCCTGTGCAGAAATACATAAATCACCATCTCATTTTTCCCAGAGCTCATTGTAGCTATAACACATATGAGTATCTCAAATTTGTAGATGGCAAGTTGCTGCCACAACTGAATGATTAAAATCTTCCAGGGAGCATATGACACCTTTCATGGCCCTTCCACTGCTCAGAGCAGAAACCTCCTCCTCTCTCTGAGCAGCCAGGCCTGGGAGATCGGGAGAGACACAGGGTTTTAAAACATCATTAACAATTAGTTTTGAAATGAATGTGAGAAACGTCAAAAGGAAAGGTAACCGGCCCAGGCTCACCCGTGCTCAATAGAATATTATTTTGGTATGGAAACAAGGACTACCAAACCGAGATAGTACTGCAAAGTACCCAAACCAACAGCAAAGGGATGCTTTGTTTTAGGTAGCAGTGACCCTAAAATTAAGCTTAGAGGACCAGTTCCACCTGCAGGCACGGCCAGTTCCTGGCAGGTTTGGCTCAGCAGCCAGCAGTCGGCACTGTTGTTCCACGGGAGAAAGGTCAGGCAGCACCAGCCAGGGATGCAGCAGCAGCAGCAGCAGCTGAGTGCAAGCCCAGGGACGGGTCTTCTGAGCATCACTTGTAAACACAGTCATGATACATACACACTGCTTCATACACACTCTGCCCAGTCATGTCATGAGGAAGGAGAAAATATTTGCACCATGCATACAAATACCACGCTTGCTTAGACCCTACAAGTGAAAATCTAATCTGTCTGGCAAGACAGGTGGAAAAGAGAGTGATGTGCTGCAGAAGAGCTGGGAAATTCAAATTGATTTGCCACGTGTCACAAAGTAGCAAATGACAAAATCCTTCACAGGAGCAACAAGATCATTCCAAACTCACTCCAAGAATATCTAGAAAAGGGAAGCTTTCTTCCAAACAAGAGGGACTCTCCTTCAGTGGTTTGGGGTTTGCTGCGCAGCCCAAAGTAGTGATGGCTGGTGTAGATGAGCAAAGCAAGGCCAGAAGAAGGGATATCACAATGGAAAGGCAGACCCTGCAGAACATGCTGATACACAGGAAGAGGCATTTGTTGATTTTTCCCATCACACACCCCTTCAGTACTTCACAAGCCTTGGAAAAGTCAGAGCACAGCAAAAGGAAAACTCAGATCCTTTTTTTTTTTTGCAACTACCTTACCTGCTCCTTGCTCAA